TCAGTTTATGTATTTGAAGCCTCTTTTTCCACCTCAATCCAGCTCTAGCAGCCTATTTAACCAGTTAAGTCAGACAGGTAGGTGGACATCACATTTGAGCATGAGGAATCAAAGACAGTGCACATGTACCCTTTCAGATTGTGCTGTGTGAGAGGCAGTTGCCACAGGAGGGTAATGAGGACACTATCTGCAATTCATTGCCAACAAGGCTGCATGGCTTTATTGGCAGTTGATGTGTTGGATTTCCCCTTAAGAGTTGTTTGCATTTGTTCATAACCGTGCATTGCATTGCGATTCCGTGAAATTGAGAACGGCATTGTATGTGAACGTGCACATACTCCACTTAAGTTAACGCAAGTTCAACAAATCAACCTCATAACCGGCTTTGTAGTACCGGGTAACTCAAGTTTTGGACGCTCGGTATTGGCAACCCTGGTTTAGAGGGATAACCCTGGGTTACATAAGAGTAAGTTAACCCTGCTTTATAGTACGGGCCCCTGGAGACAGGACTGTTTAGCATAAAACACTAACATATAGATAAAGACACGCACAAAAGAAAAAGCACATGCTCAAATACACTTGCTTTAAACAGGCCCGTGCAGGAAAAAATATGTAAATGTATCACATACAGTTTTGTGTAGCAGCTTCCTGGGCCTGTGGTTTTCTAAGTGTGTGGAATGAACCGGTGCCTGCACCCTTGCATGCGAATTGATGTGGGTCGAGCAGCAGCCGCACAGCAGCTGATTGACTAAGAGATTGCTCTGTCTCGTGTAATCTAAGCTAACAGGATGAAAGACAAGGACCCTGACCCAGCTCCAGCATAATTTAAACCACCGTTTTGCCTCATGTAACTTTTGAGTGTGCGTCAGTCATAGCATCAGAGCACAATCCAACACCAGTAACTAATTTGGATGAATGGGATGCATATTTTTGGGAATATGTTTAATCATCTATTAGTGTTTGTTTGCATAGGTGGCAGCAGATTACAGCACAATTTCCACAAACACAGAGGAAATGACCTACTGCGTTATTACTGTAACATCTGGCAGAGATGAGAGCCCACTGCATATGTAGTGCCTTTGGGGTGGGCGTGGAGAACAAGAGCCAACAGCATAATTCACTTTTAATCTACATGACCTACTCCTGTTGTTACATCAGGGGGAAATGGAGATGCGTGGTTTGCAGAAGCTTCCAGAGGCAGGATTTTCATGTACAGAAAGAATCTTTAGGGGCAGATGAACACAACTCTTTCCCATGAGAGGATTTAGATTTGTGTCTTTGTGTTCTTATTCATGGCCTTTCGGTCAAAGAACACACAACACGAAACCAGTCATCACTAGGGGTGCTGCAGGGGCTTAAACAAGAAGAGCAATTGACCATGAATGCTGATTTGATTCCACAAAAAGCTTGGATCGTGGGATCAGCTGAGATTTTGATACCCTTGTAAAAATCAGGTGCCGAATTCTTTAGTTAAAGCTCAAGACTTGAGCCTTTTTCCCCAAAAACCGAGCAGACCTCTTCCATAGGCCGCAGAACCCATTAAAGTTCCGAACTAACTGGGCTGGTTTGGGATTCATATGCGGTATCTATAACTTTGGCATGAAAATATGATACTTTAAACTGATCTGTAGCTGAGAGAAAAGCTTCCTGCGCAACGCTAAAGCAAAGTTAATTTTTTGGCTTGATTGACTGTATCAAACAGTCTAAATCTATGAACCTGCTGAAGAAGGACAAACCGATTTTGTTCACTGTCAACACTAGAGGCACAACAGGAACACATTCATGTCTCCTGTACTTTCTTGACTTACGTGCCCAGAAGGGCTGATAACTAAACATATATTTGTACTTTTAGAAGCCCTGGAAGGTTCACTTATGTTCACTCGGTAGCCCGTGTTAGTCAGTGACTGCAAGTTTATGATGGGCAAATCTTTCAAGATTAAACAACCAAGTTATTAAGCATCAAGGAAACAGAAATGTAGAGTTTAAATAAGTATGAAGAGGCAAAAGAACCGCACAAAAATTAGGTGTGGCTTTTTGTGATCTGCATAATGTAAAGGTTAGAGACAGTTTACATTGAGCTGCCACTGGTTTCCTGCGATTATACTTCAGAATCAGGACAAAGCTTGCTTTGGTGCCAAATGAATACCTTTGTATTGTTCTCTCTCATCAGTCTGGGAAACATTGCTCAATATAAAGAGGATATGGTTATTCTGCCATTCCACTGAAGTCCCCAACGTGCACGACAAGCTGAAACTTGTATTTTCTGCTAAGTAATCTTGTTATTAATGCTCCAACTAAGCTATCAAAAGAAACCACTGTCTAAATCCAAGAACTAGTTCTCTATTATGGTACAACAGCAAAAGCATGTCACTTCTTCCTGCTCTGGAAATGTCAACAGTTTCTATCTGTCTACAAAATCAGAAGTCATTTAGTATTTTCTATGTTTTTTCTGTCTTTGAGATTGAAAACTGTGTTAGTGGTGCCACTTCCGGCAGGGTACTGATTACACCATCAGAGTGGCATCTCCATCCAATCAGAGGTTGAAATGAGCCTCAGTGACACAACAGCAGGGGAATGTCATGTGGCAGTCAGTGAGGGATTAAAAACCCTTAATCTGCCTGTCATGAAAACCCAGCTGGACGAAAAACACAGAGATAGAGATCATAGTAGTGACGAACCAAATGTCAGATCAGAACAAGATGAGGAAAAGACCAGAATGATTTTGGACAACAGGCCATCTTTATCCTCCTGGACGACTGTAAAGACATGACCCTGGAGACTACAGCTGTTGAGTGAGTGTTTCTGTGATGTGCACTTCAGAGCATTTAGCGTGCATGCTCACGCTTTGTATGATACGTTAGTGTCTGAATTTTGATGTGCAATAAAGGGCAGCCAATCACCCCTGGAGGATGGCAAAAGAATGTGGTTGTGGATTGGTCCCGTGAGAGGGTTTCTATTTGTAGTTGTTTGTTTTTCCTCTGTGACCTTAAGAGAAAGCACAAACCTCTGTACGACACCACAAAGAGAGCCAAAACATCCCCACAGGCAGAAATGCAACATTACTCCACAATCAAATATATATTGATTCAAATGTGGGTTGGTTGTTCTTTATTACGTTACGTCCACTCGTGCATGTCCTCATATTACACTAATTAGGTAAAGAATTTCCTCCAGAGGTGTTTGTTCAGGACAAGTTAAAGAACTGAAAGCCACTATATGTCAACTCGAATGTTAGCATGCAGATTTGTACCCTCTCTTTTAGATTAAGCTGTTTGACATACACCATTCAATGCCAACGGGATGGCGGAAGCTTTTGGCCTTTGTTACCATTTGTTTGTAAGTTGCTATTGCAATGCTCATGTGCTTCATACAACATCATCATCATAGTGAAGGAAAAACATCATTCTAATGCAGTTCGGGATCCAATCAGTTATGATTTGACGTCATGTCTACCCTTTTCTCAAATGTTACATAATAACTGCCTATCTATCTATCTATCTATCTATCTATCTATCTATCTATCTATCTA